CTTAACGTGGAATGAACTAATTGTTTTAACATTTGGATAATGGCTATGACTCCTTTTACTGCAAAGGGTAAATCAAAACATGAAAACATATTCATCCATTGTCCCTACTGGACTGTTAGCATTACTAGGTCTCTGATTGACATTACTGTAGGTATCTGGCAAGCTGAAATCCAAGAAGAACCTGAGACACATCCTGTTGAGAATGTATCCAGCCCACCCTGACAGCTTCTGCCTGTGTCTGCACTGTTGCCTGGGGTATTCCAGTTCATACAGCCCCATTTTCTAACTGGTAATGTCTGACCATAGGTCTCACAGGCACTATGAGTGAATGAGCACCTTAAATGTTTGAGCCACTACTGAGCCCATTATATCAAGTTTAAGGATCCAGAATCACAATCATTTTGAAAAGGGATCCTGGATTTGCTTTTTAGGCTCAGGTATGTGATCTCTGGCAAGCTGAGGCACTCTTTTTCCCATCAAGATCAAAACCTATTGAAGTTCACTAAACTCCAAAGCTGAAATTTATAAGCATTTTTTCTTACTCTGCACAAAAGAATGGTGAAACAACAGTGGTCATTAAAACACATTTTCCTTATGTGGGAGTATAATCTTCTCCACAGATTTAGTTATACAAATGATATTTCATAAAGAGTTTTATTTCAATGAAAATCATGCAAGATTATTTGTATTATGATCACAGTGCTAAAAATAAATGAACATAAAAACATTTAAAATATCAAATTAGTTACTTTAAAACTAAATCAAATATACTAGTATATTATATTTCACATCTCTAAAATAAACTTCTGTGTCTTTCAGCTGCTTTGCTGGTAGATAGTTCCGCATTCAGGGCATGATTGCAAATAATAACAGTTTAACCTTTGTATTTACCAAGAGGAGTTACAATGATTGTGAATGTAATCCTATAGAATATGATGTGTGAAATCTGTAATTTTTTTTCATATAAATGCAAATGCAGGTACATTGTGTTGTGCTGAAGGAGGCTCATCTTTTGCTCTGTGCAAAGAAGCTCCAGGAGTGTGGAATTAGAGGTCCTTGTGCAATCTGCACTAAATGCAGCTTAAAGCAGTGCTTTAGAAGGAGGTGGATACTACCTTAATGACTGAAAATAAACACTTCCCGCATGATCGAGATCAAATCTAAGGGTGATAAATGGTCTGTCTGCAGGTAAAGATGATAAATTTCCAGTGGTGGGAAAGTCCGTTGAGATTCCCCGACAGGCCAGCCCTCGAAGGTCAGAGTTTTCCTTTCCCTCTGTAATCTATTCCCTGACAGTGTGTTTGATAACACATTTATGGCAATGACTCTCCTAATAGCAGCTTCATAGGAAACACTATTTACCTGTGACAATTCATTATGTGCTGTGCAAATACATCAATGCACCACAAGAGCTGGTTGTAATACGTGCTGGTCTTACAATAATATCGATTCAGAGCTGCAGATCCTCTGATGTCTGCCGCCGAGATAAAAACAAAGACACAGAAATAGTTTTGACACAGAAATCGTATACTGTATATAGAATTACCTCTATGGCAAACATTTACTTGTTTTAAATGTTTCAAGGTTTTCTGGTTCTGTAAATTAGTCACTGCTTGACAGTTTAAATGCTACACTTCTTTAAACTTCCATTTGCAGTTCCAATTTTTTTTAAATATTAAAGCAAGTGAAAAGAGCAGTCATAAAGATTAACGTTGAGTGGTTTGATTAGAATTTTACGTTCATGTATTAAATAAATGAGTGCTGGAAATAAAGTACATTCTCTTTCATTTTAAACTTTGATGCAGCTGCTGCAGGGGGGATATTAAGCTAACTGCTTGAAGGGTGGTGTGGTATGTATCGTTTTCATTTTCTAAGAAGCAATATGTTTCAGTTTTTTTTATCCGAGTTTTCTTTTGAGAAGTCAGTCTATTATTTTAAATGAATGACAGTGTAGGAATTATGCCACTCCAGGCTACAGCTGATGATAGGGATATGTATTACGTGTTCATCCAGTAAAATCTGTCAGATGTCAAAACATACTGGCAGAATAATTATTCTGCATTGGTGGACAAAGGTTTGGGGTTGTATCATTTGACTCTCTGCTGAGATTTAATAACATTTAACATTTTAAGCTAACTGTTAAAGTTTTATTTCCAATCCCATTTGTCTTCTGTATGCTGTACATCATTTCTTTTAATAACATAACAATTTCTATTAAGTCCTTTTTTATGTTTTTTTTTTTACAAAATCTAAAAAGCATTGTTTTTTTTTCAAAGAATAAGCCAGTAAAACAGCAATGACCACAATGTCTTTTGGAAGATGTAAAATGTGATTTCCTACCACTGAAGCAAATCTCTTTCATACAGTTCTCATCCGCATTACTGTATATCAGTCCACATTTTTAATCAAAACTTCAGGCTGTGTTCCTGATGATTTGCAGCTTGAGTAGGGATTAAAGTTTTGTTTAATCCTAGCCTGTGTAAAGATATAAAACATTTGGCAAAGTGTTTGGACTGCATGTTGTTTTTTCTATACTCAGTTCATTCAACATTGTGCTTCATAGTTTCAGACTGAAATTGATCCTCTTTTTGGTCGGTCTCACATCCAAAATGTCTGCATACCAGCTCATGCATGCATTGTAATTTTTGCCAATATGGCATATTTATGCCATAACATTTTTCATTCTTGCTTAAAAACACTTTTTGAAAAAAGGAAGCCATTGGTTTTCTCTACGACCTGCAAAGAAGCAAGAACTAACCAATTCCCTGCCTTTATGTCCATGTTTTAATAAATATTCAAAAGTAGTTATGCTTGCCTGAACTCATTAAAAAATAACAGTTCCCTTGGAAGAGATTATGGAATAAGTTTTCAATTGCAAATCAATTACCTATTAAAGCAGTATTACAAAACGTGTAGAATCAATTAAGTTAAATTAGGGTTAAGAATTTTAAGCCTAAATTCAATATTGGGTGGTAGGGGGCCCCATTCCTTTTGTCGGTGACATTTACTTTTAATGGAAAAAAGGGTCAGCATAAAAATGCCTCCAAAAGAATCTATATGTCAGTATGATGAATAATTTAACAACATAGCAAAGGGCTGCTGGAAATCTGAAGGTATTGATGAGCCCAATGTGAATACTCATGAAAAAATAAATCCCCAATGTCTGTGCTATTTATTTTCCTGTTTTGATGGTCAACAACACCATATGCATGTTTTAATAAGGAATACTGATCTAAATATAATTATAATTTTTAAAATGCAGTTCTCTTTGGCTCTATTCTTTTGACTTTACAGTTAAAATATTATTCATTTTGAATAATTACTTTTTCACATTTAATTTTCACTGAATTAACATTGTAATTTTCACCCCAAACCCTACAAAAAAGAAAGAATATTGAAAAGAGAAATATTGAGAGATTTCACAGAAAATAGAAACAAGGGCCTCTAATTAAATGTGATATTTACAAGGAAAAATTATTTGAAGCAGGCAATAGATACCCCAGTATGACTCCTGTAATTCAGTTGGGTTTTTCATCCAGAAATGTCAGTGGATTATATTTTTAGACAACAGAAATATTGATGCCTTTGTTGGATTTGTATTAAGTCACAATGTACCAATTGGACATTTCCATAATACCACCAAATTCAGTATAACACCAAAGATTAGATATTCTTCCACAACTGTAAGGAGCTGGTACTTGTTTTTACACAGAAAATACAAATTTACAGATCCTGTTTTAGGTTTATTATTGAATGAAATGTCTGATCTCTTCAGCAAGACACAAGAATGCATAAGATATTGCTTTCTAAGGTGATAAAATAAAATTGATTTTAAATTTAGACTGCTCTACTTTACAAGTAAAATCTGATTGTTTCATATTGAAAATCTTTTATAAAATCAATTTTGTTTTTACAACAATGCTTGTGTGAAATGCTTTAATCCTGTAGTTTTAATCACCTGTTCTCTAGTGAGGATGGAACAACATCAAGGGATAGGACCCAATTAGAGGAATTTATGTTATGAAGTTGTTTCATGCCTATTTCTTTAAAGCCATTCAGGCCCAGCTCTTTGGTTTTGACTAATAGATAGGCTGTCTGTATTTTGTGTCACAGTTCCAGAAACGAACGGAAAGTAATTGGGAGAATTGTTTTTCGGCCTTAAGTGCAATTAATTCAAATTTTACTATAGAAGAAAGCATTGTATTATTCTTTCTTTACTTGATTTCAAAACTGACTATAAAGGAAGGTCATATCTCACCCACAAAGTAGTTGGGCACAAAATTATTTGTCAATAGTTCAGTTAGATCCTAATGAATGTGATAGAGGGAAGAAGTATGAAGAGCGTATCTGGTGTGACGTGGCTACCTGAGGGAGTAGCCATAAGGACTGGCTGATGCGAGAGATATGTAAAAGGAGGTTCTGGGCGCAACACTTACAGCATATACAGTACTTAAGTGAATGGACATGTCAGAGATTAGGATCTAACCTTTCTCCTGAAATTCTGTTATAAACTCCATAATGACTGTGGTCTAGCATGCTATATCTTGGTGTATCTTGGTCAGCAAATCCCTTTAGAATATTGTTGGCTTGAAGCCACTTGGACAAAGTTTGACACCTGGCTACAGTATACAGTATGACTGAGATGTCCATCTCTCCCCCACAAGTAAGATGAGCAAAAGTGCTGCACTAGTAGGGATGGAGGAGGACTGCCTGTTGTATTTATAATGACATGGTTTAAACATGTCCTTTGTACCTCCCCAAACTCTGCTATAAATTATCTCAACAACATCATCACAGCCTCACTTAATTTTTTTAAAAAATGCTAAAGGTGCTTTAGTCAAGAAGGAGTTTCTCAGAGACCCTGGTTTTAACTAGATTCAAAAATATTTTCCTGTGAACAATGTAATGTACTTCAGCTGTTACAGAAAAACACTTCACAATTGGAAGCAAAAATCCAAAAAGTGAAAATGTAACCATGTCTTTCTATCTGTGTTGTACAGCTACCAGTCCAATGTGCAGACTCTGAAAGGTCATTCTTCTGCAGTAAAGTGCTTGGTGTTTGATGAAGAAAGGATCATCTCTGGCTCACAAGACAATACTATCCGGATCTGGAACTTCGGTGATATTCTCTCAGGGAGCCAAAACAAAAGAGTCCGCCACAGATCTCAGTGGGATACAGCACAGCGGCTGAAAACATAGTGCTAATCAGTGTCGAAACTTAATTGTCTATCATAAATTTTCAGTTATGCTCACAGAATATATTTCCATTGAGGTCCTGAATGTTTAATTTTCATTTAGCATTTCATTTCACTTTGCCCTTGATCATTAAATACTCTTAAACATGTCCTTGCTGTGCTTTCTGTCGGACGACATATTTTTGCAATATTATTTTTTTCTTCCTTGACTTGAATCTGTGAAAGAATACTGTATCTAGGGAAAGATACTGAAAACATAAACATGAATGAAGCCTCTCTAAAGATCTAACAGCCAATAATTTTGTCCAGTGTACTCTTGGTACTATACTATATATAGTAATAGTACTATACTGAGAATCTTGCTGCTTTGAAAATAAATTGCTTTGTTGTGGTATTTTCATTCTTTGAAGCACTTATGATGTCAAAGATCCCATTTGCCTTCATAAAAGCTCACCAGGCATAGTTCTGAAAATGCCACACATGCTTCAGTCATACAGTGGTTCAGAACTGTCCACTGTGTATTGACATAGTATTGACACCGGCATAAATCTTCTCATGGTTTATTTTTCCAAATCAGATAGAGCTTCTCAGAAAGATAAGTAGAATTGGCTGTGCTATCCATCAATGCTTGGCTTGTTCCCCCAAGATAGATGTGCTGGGGAATGAGAGCAGTGCACACAGTGGGCCCAGGTGACACACATTGCAGCTTGCTTCAGGGAAACTTTTGAAGTCTGATCAATAGCTACTTAATTCCCACATAACCTTATTGATTTATAGAGATAAGGAATGGTATAAAATCTTTAGGAGGCTTGAGACACTTAAAAAGGTTATAATTAATCATCCTAAAAATATACAATATTATTTCAGCATAACAGAAGGAAAGGGGGCATCTGCTGTTTTTTTTACTTGTTGACTTAAACATTCAGACCTGAAGTGATCCTGTTGCATAAAATAATTTTACCATGTTTAGTTTAGATTGGTTATATTTGTTGATCCAAAAATCAGTGGGAGATTTCCGGAGTGTGCAGTGGTGTTGGGGCAGCTACTGTATAAATGTCTGTTTGTGAAGGCAAGTGGAAGAGCTGAAACTACCTATAGTGGCAAAAAGTGAAATTAATAGATTTTTGTCTTTCTTTATATGCCTTTACAGTATCTCCAACAACCCCTCAGGAATTGTGCAAGAGCCTGTGTAATCACTTCCTAATAAATTATATGTGTTTTTTACATTTTTACTTTGTTTAAGGTGTTTATTGTGTCCTCATGTGTACTTATTTGGATTCCTTTTCTGAATAGTAATTTGGCATTGTCTTTATCCAGCTTTTCTACAGTTTATAACCTGTAACTCCATGGCCAGTGATTTCTCAAGGTTAAACATGCTCCTCTTTATGGTTTCACATTATTTTTGGTATGATTTCACAGAGTTTTACTACACTTTCTACATTCCTCTTTTTTATTTCTATACTGCACCACTGTAAAGAATAAAGCAAAATAACTTTCATCCTTAACAGTAAAAATGCCATACAGTACATTAAATGCCAGAGAAGGCAGATGGCATCATATTTCATACCACAGTGATAAAAATATTATATTTATCATAAAGACTTAAAAGATTTAATATCCAGAGTTTCTCAGATTTATCATGTAACAAAATAATTGATATTATTTGAAGTATTTTATAGAGGAAAAAAATATTCTTATTCAGCACAAAACAAAGCAGCAAAGACACCAAACATGACAAAGAAGTTCATATTTACTGCTTTGCAGGTCATGCTGCTGCAAAAATTACAGGTGACCTCCAGAAAGAGTTCTTCAATGACATTTTTCAGTAACTAGTCTGTGTTGTACTTTTTGTACAGTGACATAATCACCTCATTATTTCCAAACCCGCCTTGCAAGTTTAATGAATATTCAAATAACATATATTTTTTTTAAATGTCAGCTCAATTATTGCATGTTGGAAAAGGCCCTTTCTGAATATTTCTACTTACTGAAGCTCTCTTATGAAACAACAGGGTTGCAGCTTGTGAATTTCTGAGTGAGAGTTAATCACCTTCATCAACGCTTTTCTTTTCGGCGATTAATACCAGATACTGTAGATCTATTGCGTGTTCTGTTTTAATCTTCTCCGTAGTATATCATATATCATTGTATATTCTTACAATAGGGCATTTCTTTGTACTGCCAGAGCACAAGGTGAAATTCCAAATTGATCAACATATTCAGCCATTGTTGTGATTCAAGCAGGATCTTGTGTGTAATATTAATAAGTGTTAAGGCAAAACATTTCTTATATAGTTAATACAGCCCTTTTGTTACGCATTCTGTCTAGAAGATCAAGGGCAATATGAATTTTAGTTACTAGCAAAGAGCATCACCCAATGCCCATTGTATCTTGAAGTTCAATCATTGATTTTCACATGGAGACTGAACACAGAAAGTGCCATTGTACTTCTCTTTTACTTGGTTTCTATTAGTGTGCATCTTAAGCTTGCAATACTTTTCACACATAACCTGGATAAAAATAGTGCTCGAATTTCTTGCTTCTCTAGACCCTCGGACCTCTGGGGGTTTAAAACTGGCTGTTTAAATCTTAAATCCAACATTGACACAAAACTCACACATTGGACTATGTGTACAGTACAGATGACAACTCCAGTATTAGGCTTGCCACAGTTAGATAATTAAAATCAGTTAGATAATTCATTTCTGCATTAATTGTTTCTGTCTGGTTTTTCTTAAAATAAAATAATTTCTGTAAATAACTGTGAGTTACAAAGTTATTACCAAAGCATATCACAATTTAAATAGTGGTTCATAGTTATATCAGAAATGTGTATGAAAAGGATAACTTCTTGATTTGTCAGCATCTTTGATTTCTTAAGATCTTGTGCTATTAATTCGTTCATTATTCATTATTTGATTTACTGAATTCCTTGACTTTTGTGAAGTGTCAGTATACAGTATGTAGCTCATAACAGTTTCCACCCCAAATTGTATCAACTACTTGTTTTTCATTAGTGTTTTCAAACATTTAATGGGCAGATTTGAGACTCATTTGTTCCTACCTTTTAAGATTTTATTGTATTTTCTGTAAAACAAAACTATTAAAACCATAAGATTTAAATTGTTTATTTCAAATTTAATCACATTTATTTTTACTCTCACACGACAGCCCAATTTGCATACGTCGTGTATAAGAAACATTCTATTTATTAATTATGTCATGAAAAGATCAATGAAGCCTAAACGTCACCATAATCAAATCTGTTGTTGGACCTGCCAGTCAGACACTGGAAGGATAAGAACTTTCCTTGAGGTGAAAGGAAAGGTTTTGCAATAATTCTTCATGCCAGTTCTTCTTCAAAAAGCTCTTGAATTAATTTACCTCAAGTCAGAGGTAGTTCTGCCTTCAGTTGACTAATTGAGAGTATATCACCCACAAGCAACAGATCACTTTATTCAAGCTAGAGTGCAATGACTAATTTAAGGATGAATTTAGCTTGGCCTACAATACAAAAACAGTGAGAAGAAAGCTGTATGAATTACACTCCGCATAGTTGCAAATGCTCTCATCAGTTTAACTTTTTAATGGCATCAAATGGTGGGAACTGTTACACTACTGTACATTAATCTTATTAAAAGGTAAGTGGAGATAATATAATTAAACCCCTTTGGTGGAAGATATTGACCAGGCACCAGACATGTGTTCTGAGGGAGGAATGGGGAAATTATAAATTGGATATTTAGCAAATTAAGTTTAAGGATATTAAGAATTGATCGGATCCTAGTAGGATTCTATTAAATTCTCATTTCACACAGTAGATTCATAATATTTGACAAAACCAAACTTTTTGTAAGGAAACTGATTGGTTGTTTCAAATACATTCATGGACTTCATGAACCTTAGGGAAATGATAAGTTATGAGACATAGGTGATATATTCAAATTTGCAAATGAAGAAACTCATTATGTACAGTGTCCCTAAATGAATTGGGACAGTGAATTATCATACAAAGAGTTTGTAAGCTCAATGTATCACAGACTTGCAGTTATTGCTTATAGCTTAAAGCTATTGGTTTTCAGCAAAATACAAAATACTGATTGTGTCCCAATACTTTTCATCAGTTGAAATCACTGGGCTGAATACAAATTTTGTTTTTTGTAATATAATCAAATGTATACATTGAATTATCTGAAAATAACATGTATATTATATGGTATATTATTACTCATGTCATTATCACAAATGGAGTATAAAACAAACAATAGAGAGGAAGATTAGATTCTAATCACTTACTTCTGCTCTCCTATGTACTGTATATGCAGTATATAAAGCATCTTCTGGATTTCCCTTTGTGTATTACTTTTGAACCCTCCTGCCACCCCATCTACACCCTTGGAGCAGCTCCCTAGCTCATTCCTCGTGAAAGTGAGGGAGATCATCCTTACAGTCAGATAAGCATTATCTTAGCTAGGAGAACCGTGCCAAACAACCTCTAATACATTTGCATATATTAAGATCTAACTGAATTGCTGAAACACTCATTGACAGACTGTAAAGCAAAAATGACTTGCTCTCTCAATACCTCTGGAGGGAACTGTATATACTTATTCCTAGTGTCATTAAGGAGGGTCAATTAATTTCTTTACATCTTGAAGTCAATAAGTTGAAAAAATGTTCAGGATGTTTAGAAATGAAACAATTGGCACATTTTGAATGGGCAACTTCAGTCGTTTGCATTATGTAGAAATATTTGTGTAGGCAGATGTATGACATTATACAAATAATTATTTGTAAGGGACATAACTTAGGCTAAGTTGAAAAAGTACAGAACTGCTCATTGAAGTTCTTGGTAAGCGAAAGACAAAGAACTGCTGGGTTATTAAAACATGTCTCTGGGCCATAACACAGTTGAAATTCTGTGCTTCTTATGCTTGGATTTTGCCTAAGCTACAGAAGTGCAATTTCATATTCCACTCATGCTTTTCCAAGTAACAACTGGCAAACTTCACAGGCATTTTACTTAGAGACTTTAACACAATCT